GTACATCATTCTAGAGCCAAATAAATGACCTTTTTAGAAAGTGAACCATGGATGGGGAAATGTTGGCAGTTTTCTCAAAAAATGCTTGAATTCAAAAACCTCCCTTTTAGACCTGGACCCCCCTGGATCCGCCCTCTGAAGCCGACCTAAAACGCTTTCTTTGTTGTTTTGCACCTACCAGACACAATAAAATCAGTTTCCAATGTCAATCCGGTGGACAAATGCGTGGGATCTCCGTCCCGAAACCACTGAACCACATAACTATCGGTGGTGCCATTGCAAAGGAAATCTGAACTCAACTTGTCCCAACTCAGCTTCACTGCAGTGATGCTGCTCATTTCTATGTCCAAGTTTCTTGAACCTTTAAATCCTGGAAAGAACCCAAAAGTTCCCATTGGCTCAGGGCTATTCGACAGAGTTTGCCTACTACTGAACTTACCAGTTTGGCAGGTAACTTTCTCCGAATGATCGCTGGCATGATTAGAATATAGTCTTACGTAAAAGGTATAATTTGTACTATGCTTCAGGCCATGGGCTAACTTGAAAGTATCTTGTATCAGGTACTCGGGTCCAGGTTCTTCCACTCCTTGCGCTAGAATGTGGCGTTGAAGGAAAAAAACTCTTCACACAAATTTCCTTACATAGATAAGAGGAATAGACGCTGTAGGCTTTAACGGAAACGTTCTCCGGCTTATTCCAGGTGAGGCAAATCTTGTCATCGTCATAGGGGCGGCACTGGATGTTCTGGGGTGGGCTGGGGCTTTGCGAGTTGTTGATTACCAGCTGCGCCGCTGTCCACACTCTGCCCACCTCATTAACAGCGACGCACTGATACAGAGCTAAAAGGCGACAAAACACTGCACTCTTAATAACCGCTAGATTAGCTGGAACATTTACCCGAATCTGTGGAAATGGTGTGACTGAACACCAACCCTGTAAGCGGCCGTTTTATGCGTATCTCCTGAGTTAAGGGCCTTCCGTTTTTCAGCCACAAAACCTTCGGCTCAGGGATTCCTTTGGCTTGACAATCTATCCTAAACGATCCGAAATCAACTGATTAATCAGCACTTTAATGGCTAGATTGGTATATGAAATACCTGACTGTTTGTACCAGAGGCGACGTTTTAGAAACCGGAGTGCTATTAAAGCAGGGCTCCTGAAACACATTCAAGTGGTACGATTGAATCAGGGTTCCGCCCTCGTTGCTGACTGTGCATGTCAAGTTTCCAGCGTCGGCCGGTTGAGCATTCCTTATAGTTAGAACGGAAGAAACGCCTATGGTAAAGTTTTTATCTAAAAACCACGCAATATGACTAACTATCCAGTTGCTTTGTACACCTTAAGCAGTCTTACTGTTTTGCCATTTTATTGCCGGCGTAGGCCATCCGGAAGCGATACATACAAATTCAACAGTGCCGCCAACGAGGACTGTTTGTTCTATCGAAGAATTCACCAAATGGATCGAGGGTGCAACGGTTTCGGTGGGAGTGTTTGCTATCGTTACGTCTAAGTATTTGCTGGTTTTTGCTTCGTTCAGTACACTATTTCTTGCTATGCATCTGGAACGGAAGGAGCGATTAGGGGGTGGATGGTGCATGTGGGACCAGTGCAATTTACCTATATTTTCCTGAATCGCTAAACTTGGTATCTCTTATTAACAACGCGCCATTAGGCAAAGGAACATATCTGGAATGAAACAAACAATTTTACTGGATTCTAACGTTGGTTTGCAATTTCTAGTGGTTGTTCATTATCATCATCAGACAAGTATACAGGGTTATTCACGCTATACGGCACGGACGTTTGCGGCTAGCCCGTTTGTTTTTTGCAAAGTATTATTTGATGAATCCACAGACGCCTATCGGGTGCACATTTTAAAAACATTTTTGTAATGTACAGAGTGTCCCAAAAGCCCCCTAAAAGTATCAAAGTTGTGTTTTTCTAAATTGAACACCCTATATATATAAGTGTTTGTTTTAATAAGATTTATAATGTCTAAATCTAAAGGTTTTTTAAATAATTCGAATTTTATCAAAATCTAATATTATTTTCATGTGTCAAATACTTTACAATTATTTAAGTTATGTAAACGTAATTCGTAGTGTAGTGTTCTGTGCACCATTTGGTGTTTTTTTTTATTAAAAGGTTAAATAACATGTCAACAATAACATAAAACAAAGGCAAATTATGTATAACAAATGTTCGAAATGTTGATCGTCCATTTCCAGGCACTTGTAAATTCTTTTTTCAAAACAACTGCTAACTCTGAACAACATTTGCGGAGTTACAGTTTTAAAAGCGTCTCTTATGCGTGTTTTT